AAACAGTGAACATAGTAAACACCATACCTGCTACATGTCTGTATGCTAGCATTGTTATTGTAAGCTTTGTTAGCATTACCTGAAATCCTGGATTTATTGCTCTTCTTCTATAGTCAGACCACTCTTGTCCAAATTGTACACATCCATAATATATGAAGCATGACAAATTCCCCTCCTCTCCATCAAGGAGATAATTTCATTTTAATGATAACTTGTCTGAGACATCCTCCTGAAAGCGTTGCCATAAATCAACAGATCACACGTCTTCCCCACTCTTCCCTCACCTTACCCCCAAGACACCCCCCCAAGGTGACTCACCGTCTACCATTCAAAGAGCTGCACAAATAATCACTCTCTTCAGACCTCCCCCGTTTTTGATTTGCACGTTTGATAGATGGTGTCTTTTCTTGGCTTTAATTGCAAGCTCTTTTCATCATAATTTTATATTTGTTTCCTGTCGTTTTCTTGGAGATGGCTGCGGGTGTCTGGGTTATAATTTCTACATCAAGGAAGTTGTTAGGAATGACTAACAGGTGGAATAGACAGCAGCGTGTGGGTTTGTCCTCTGAACTCACCTGGCAAGTGAATTTACGAACTGCATTGACAAATCTGATCACGTTGATAACGGGAGCAGACACTGTAGTGCACACACACATGCTCACACACACATACACAGCACAATGAGCGAACTGCAGATAATTAGGGTAATTTCTGTTTGAAGTATTATGCATTGCAATGAAAATAGAACGGATAAAAGACGAGACAATAATAGATCTAAAGAGGACCTTGACTGAATGTTGTTGCAACAAAAAGCATTTTGTTTGACACAATTCATATTGTCTGCTAAACAGATATCATGTCTCAAATTTATAAGAGAAGGGGGGAAAATCATATGAAACAAAAAATGCTAGATATGCATTATGTTCATCAACACTTTGTGTCTCATCGCGATGTGTGGACCATTTATATATTCATTCCCCGCTTCAGGTTGACTACTGGTCTGCCGGTGTTAAATTATGCCCTGTGCATAGATATACTCCTTCCTTACACAACATGTAAAATGTAGTATCTAAAGTGAGAGACAACTGAATTCAGGTCACAGCGCAGCAGGAAATCTTCCTTTTCATGTGAGATCCAGAGGGGTCACTCTTATGAACTCATTAGGAGAGAAATGCTAATGTAGCTCTGTTTTTTTTCTGTCTCTCTCCCTGCCCTCCTTCTCTTCTCTCTCTTTTCTCTCCTCACCAACTTTCCTGGTTATTTTAACAACCAGGGCTGTGATGTTCAGAGCCTCTCTGCAGAATAGAACATATTTAGATGTCAAGGGAAATTGTGTAAGGTGGTTCTGACAGCAGCTTCATTAGAAAAGGCTGTTGTTTGTTGCCTTGTCATCAAGTCGCCAAACTGGAATCGTTTCGCTGTAAACAAAAAGCTGCATCTTTATCTCTGCTGGCGTTTTACTGATGTTCTCATTCTGCTGCAGCAAACAGCGCTCATTAAATGAATGGAAAAGATGGCAAAAAAGAAAATCTGTATTGCAAAATATGGATATCAGTGTGGTGTCCTGGTGAACAAATGACCCTTCCTCACAGGGTTTCTGATAAAGAAGGACTTCTCTGCAGTGGTCTCTAACCATGCAGCGGAGGACATTAAATAATGAATCACTCAAACAGACTTCCACAAACTGGACAACCACTTTAAAGACCGTAATATGAAATTCCGGCTAACTTTTACTTTTTTGAAAGTTTCCAAAAAGAGAGAAATTCATCCGCTAACCTTTTTTATGTTCTTTTGTTTTCATTTGTTATAGGAGTAGCATGTAGCAAAGAACAGCAAGACTGCCTCATTTAATCTAATCTCACGACACCAATAATATACAAATTAAGTAAATACAATGCTTTTTAAATTATTTTATGTCTTACTTCCTTGACATTTGCATGATTTTTGGGTTTTTCAGATATTGAGATATTTTCATAGGAGAGTTTCAATATTTCTTTTGTCAGACATTAAACTTAAATAACTTTGGTGTTTTGCTAATGTACAAATTGTTATTGATAAAAAAAAATTAATTACAATTTTAAAAATGCTCCCCTTAAAAGTTCAGAGTGTAGAAGCATCTTGCAGTGAGCTTGCAGATTGCAACCAATTTCCTTTCTAAGGAAGTGTGAGAGCGTATAATGTCCTTCAGGTAATGTAAAAATACAAAAGGCCCGCTCTAAGCCAGTGTTTGGTTCGTCTATTCTGTAGAAACAACAAGCTCAGTGGCTGAGGACCTGATCTCTGTTTAAAGAGGTTATTTGCTCAACATTCTTAGTTTAAGGTCAATTTTATTTTGTGGTTAAATAGCCAAGAATTATTAAAGTAATTATTTATTCCACAAATTGCACATTTAATGAAAACAATAAAGTATGGAAATTATTACTCCAAAATGAGGGAATAGAACTATTATATAGGATAGTATAATAGTATGTTTTAAATGTAACAGGGACTATACATGGTCAAAATAAGATTGTTTGCCAAAAAGTAATTTCTCTAAATTAAAAAAGAATTTATTTGAGGGAAGTTGTGTCAGTACCAATCAATTTTAATTAAAACTGTTTGACAAATGGCTAATATGAGATTTCAAAATTTAAGTCACTTTAAAATAATGTTTGAAATCAATTCAAATCAATCAATCAGTGTGAGAATGATTCGGAGTTGTCAAAGAGGACCTGTGTTCTCAGTGACCCCAAAGAAAACATTAAGGCTGATGTTGTATTCTATAATATATCGCAATGCCAATAAACTAATTCCAAACATGAGTCATTCAGTCCTGTGCTGTTTTTAATCTGTTTCATTTTTCACACTTTGGCTCTCTCCACCTCTTATCTTGGGCCCTGCAGGCCTGCACTGTCTCTTTTTAGTACCTTAACAGGCCTTATTGCCCCCGATTTCCCTTTTCTCCTAATTTCATGATTTAAAACCATGTCCAAGGTGAATGCTGGAAAAAGCCATGAAAAAAAAACATTTTAAAAGAAATTAGTTTGTTCCCATTAGCAAGGTTTTAGGTGGTGGTGGTGGTGGTGCATGTAGGTAGGATCATTTCAAATTGTGCCAGGAAAAAAGTGGCAGCTAATTAAATTAAAGAAGCACTCTAATGAAGTAGAACCAACACTTTCTTTCAGAGTGGGAAGGGAAACAGAGTTTAAAGCTTGTATCACACTTTTCTCTCTTTTTTTTGGCTGGAAACATTAAGTTTAATGTTAGAGTTTTTTTAAATAAATGAAAGGTTTGTTTGTTCAGGGGTTTGCCTTATGTGTGAAATCTTTTTAATTAACTCTCTCTATCGGTGCAGTGTACTGCGTGCTCGTGCGTGATCGGGCGCGTGAGGGTGCGAGCGCGCTTTCTGCTACACTCTGGAATGCAGCCAGTCTCCTTTGATTCCACACTCCGCTTCCAAAACCCCAAAGCCTTTGATCTTTTCTCTCTCTCGCTCTCTCTCTCTCTGTCGCGCGCTGCCTCCCTTACCCGGAAGAGAACCCCTTTCTCTCCCTCTCTGTCTCCTCTCTCTCTCTCTCCCCCTCCCTCTCTCTCTCTCTCTCTCTCTCTCAGCTGGGAGGATGAACGCACACGTGGAAATGTTGGCCCGGCTCCACACTCGGACCAAATTTAGTCATACAAAGGCAAGAGAGAGGGAAGGGAGGAGAGGGGAGGGAAGGGGGAGGTGGGGGCTGAGAGGGCTGGTGCTGCTGCTGCTGCTGGGGGAAGTGGGGGAAGGAGGAGGAAGGGGGAGAGTCGGGGATGAAAGAGCCAGCCGCCGCGAGATCAAAGGGAGCCGCGGCTCCGCCCCTCTAACCCCACCCCCCGCGCTTTATAAAGATCTGCCTCCCTGGCCCAACTGTGATTCTCACGCAACCTCTCTGCGCTCAGACAGACGCACTGACGCACGCCACTTCCACTCCTTTTCCTTTAGTTTTTTTAATTATTATCAGTATCTGTTGCCGTTTATTTTCCTTTTCTCCCCCCCTCTGTATTTCTTCTCATAAAATCTGAGACTCCACGTCGACGCATTGATTTCAAAACAGGTTTTCCCCTTGTGTTTGTGGCACGTGCTTACATATTTTTCATTCTTAATTAATCACTTTAATTTTTTAATCACTGTCTAATGACGTGTGTGCATTTGTTCTTCTCTCAATAATAATGATTAGGTTTCATAACCTTGTTTTTATTGTGTGTAGATTGTGGCTTAAAAGGAATCTGATTAAGTGTTTTATCACGTTTTCATACAGAGAATAAAAGGTGAAGGAGTGTCTGACTTCAAATTTTAATATTTCTAAGGAGTCACTGGGGAAAGGTTTATGACTGTGTGGCCTTTTATTTCTCTGTCATTTCGTTAGGCCATTGCAACACATTTTGTTTTCTCTCTCTGCTGTCACTTTGAGACTTAAATAGTTTTTTTTAACGAGTAGCAATCACATACATTTTATAATTTCAGATATTGTAGGAAGCACATCAAAAGCTGACGCAGTTAATAGAATGAAAACGACATTAAACTTCAGCCTGAATGTTGCTGATTTGTTGTCATCACAAATAAGTAAACAATAAATATGTGGGACGATGTGACTGTGGGAGAAAATGACAAATACAAACTATTAGAAGTGTTTTCTTTTTTTAACTGGCCCCATCTACAGGTCCAAAATATCAATATTGCCACCACTTGCATCGATATTAAATCTATTGTACCTCCAAACAAACACTATTCTAAATGTATTCACATTTTTATTATTCGTGATTGTTTCAAGGCATCTTACACACACGGAGCGTCTTCTTCCTCCTCACCTCCTCCTCCTCCTCTTCTCCTCCTGTCTGCCCATTTGTTGTGAAGCCGCGTATAAATCTGTGTCTCAGGAGGAGTGTCAATCGGTGCGGTGTCAATCACAGCCTCGGCTTTCCTTTCATCTCTCCTTCCTTTTCCACAGACTGAAAGGAGAGCGAGAGGGAGGAGAGGAGGGAGGAAGGAAAGGAGGGAGGGAGCACGGCTACATTATACCAAACACACATACACACACGGGTTACATGACACTGTGGAAGCGGTGCGGCAGCAGCGGGGAAGTCGCTCGTCTTTATTCCCCCTCCTTTATATCTTCATGTGTTTTTCTTTCTCACTCGAGGATGTACTTTTGACGCATTTTCTGTTTTAAATCCCAAAGAATTAAAAGTGTTTTTTTCCTTTTCTTCCACATCCATCACTTACCTCTCCACCTCCAGCTTTTTTGTGTGTGGTTGCTGTAGCTCAGTTCGTTTCGTTTTTTAATTTCTTTTATTTTTAATTTCCAAGGACGCCGCAGCTTCTTCACCGGACCACCGAGGAACTATTTTCTCTCTCCACTTTGTTGTTTTTGTGAATGCACTTTTGTGAACGCACATTTGTTTTTCCTGGACCATATCCGCTGTGCGCACGCTGACTCACACGCTGTAGTGATGAGATTTTAAACTCGTGGTTCCCTCTATTTTTATTTTTTATTTTCTCCTCATGACATTGAGGCGTGCACCGGACTCTTCATTCTGACCCGCTTGCACGTCAAGTTTTCCGGGTCGTGTGTAGTTCAGAGACTCGTGGTGAAGACACACACACACACACGCTCCTGTTGCTTCATCGGACACACACCGGCTGCGTGTCCGCGCCACGCCGCTTCCTCTCCCGGTGACTCGCCGTCGACGCTCCGGTGAAAACCAGAGGAGACGGTTCCCCCTTATCTTCCACTTCCACCAGGGATTTCAGTGACATTTCCTCGGACAACCGTGGCTTCAGTTTCTCCGGTCGAGCAAATCGAGTCAGTTTGTTAAAATGCCACAGTTATCAGGCGGCGGAGACCCGGAGCTGTGCGCCACCGACGAGATGATCCCCTTCAAAGACGAGGGGGACCCGCACAAGGAGCAGATCTTCGCCGAGCTCAGCCACTCGGAGGAGGAGGGAGACCTGGCCGACATCAAGTCGTCCCTGGTCAACGAGTCGGAGAGCAGCCCCAACAGCAACAGCCACGATGTGAGTGGTGTTTGTATTGTTATTTTCACACATGATGAACGGGGGAAGGAGGATGAGGAGGAGAGGAGGACTGTGGGCGTCAGATCTGAGCTCCGCATCAAACAGGAGGAAACAGCCTGGAAACAAAAGTTGTTTTTAATCCCCAATAATCACGAAAAGACCTGTTTTTTATTTAGCTTTCATTGATCTAATATTGATGAGTTTGCCTTCAAGATTTGCAGGATAAAATGTGATAGATAAATTAACAATACAGGCCAGATAGTGTCCTTTCTGGTCATGAAGCTTGCTTAGTTTTATCATGTATATTATGTAATTTTATCATCCAGATTTAAATGGCAGACAGGATGAGGTCACATGCATTTATTGTGTCAATGTTTTTGTTTTATTTTAATACAAAATGAATAGCTGCAGTGACAGTCTACAGAGCCTTTTTAAAATATACATTATGCACGTTTATCATTCAGATTTAGTTCATCTCACGGTGTATTTTATTTTTAATACAAAATGAATAGCATTAGCTTCAATAACCAGGTGCACCCCCAGAAACCATAAAGATGCTCCTCTAAACACTACATCTTATCCTCAGGAGCCTCCCAACAGGAGACACCACAGAGGCCTAAATGTTTTAACCTCCTGCATCACTTATATTTCATTTAGCCATAGGGACATTTGGATTTAGAATAAAGAAAAATCTATTTTTAGGCTTAACGAATTGAGGCCTTGTGTGTATGTGTGTGTGTGTGTGCGTGCTGCCAGTGAGAAGTAGGCTAATAGCTGTGTTTGCTTTGGTTTCACTATAACCCCTCAGCAGCTGTAAACACCAGCACATGAATCTGTTTAGCACACATGGCTTAAAACCATATTAACAAACAAGATTATTAATTTACTCTGAAAGATCAAAGCTCATAAAAATGCAAGCTAAATGAAATGACGCTTTGCAATTATTCTTGTCATCGGGATGTGATCTTTGATTTTTGCTCCCTGCTAATTCCAAATATTATTATTATTTTATGTTTGCTGGAGTCATAAATAACATTTGGAATGTTTTTTGGGGGCAGATAAATATATGTGTTTGTCCTAGTTGATCAGATAAAAAGAATATTAGGGGTAATATCCTTTTTATCAGACAAATTTCTTAAACGTATGAATGTTGAATTCATCATGTATGTAAATACATAAAGAATCTCAATGGAGGAATTATTAATGATGAATTTTTAATGTTTCTTCTCCTGCTTTACATTTGTAGTAGCACAAAAAAGAAACAGAGTAGGTATGAAACATCACAGTTAAAATGAGTGTTTTATTTTTTCCTGCATCTGTCTGCCTGTGCACTGACCTCAGGATGCCGGCTGCAGCTTACCCATTACAAACTTAAGACGGCTGTTTTTTTTCATTAACTGCAGCGTTAATGAAATTTTGAGCACATCCCGAACAAGACTGTACACATTCACCACCAAAATGTCCTAGAGACGCACGAGACGTGCTGAATGTTAATTAGGAATCCAGCGAAGTTCCACTTGCTCAGCTTGAAGCCATCTTGAGGGGTCTGAACTCTAAAAAAAAAAAAAGAGGTCCCGATTCAAGAAGAGAAAAGAAATTGATATGTGAAATGCAGGGGATTTTATATCTATTTTTAGGCAATTGTCTGCGCCATTTTCTCTTTTTAAATTATAATTATATTTCACTTTCCACTGAGATTTTTTTCAATTCTTAACACAAATCCACTTGATTTATTTGAATTTGGAGATGAGAGATGAAAATGAGAGTGGACCATGATATTGAAAACAAGTTAATTTGTATGCTCCTTAAGGACATGAAGCTTAATTAAGTGGTTCTTTTGAAGCTTTGATGCAGGCTGCTCCATCACCCCTCTATAGATAGTGGTGTTTGTGTGTGTGTGTGTGTGTGTGTGTGTGTGTGTGTGTGTGCGAGCTTGTTCTGCTTTGGTGACAAGCAAAGGGATGGCATTTGTCCCTGCAGTGTTTGTGGGTGTCTGACCATATCACCTTGTCTCTCTCTGTGTATGTCTCTGTGCCTCCGAAGGCCCTCCTGCTGTAATTAATTCATCATCACTTCATTTCTCTCTTATTTTTGCTTTTATTTAACAGGCAGCTAGACAGTCCCAAGATTCATATCACGAAAAACACAGAGACCATATGGAAGATGGTAAGTGACACAGCTCTGTAAATCTGCATGCTTTATAGGACAGTGTTGCCATTTAGCTGCAGTTGAAAACCCCCTGACTTCCAGAATAATACGCTGAGGCGAGTGTGTTTTTTCTCAGTGATCCGTCACACTATTGCACTGTGCTTATCAGAGACCCCATTTCTGCTGCTCTCAGTCAGATTATCTCTGATCCAAGTCTAGTCAGGACATGCTTTACCTTCATGCACACAGCTACCTGTTACCTACCTCACAGATGAGGGTGCCTGCAGAAAAGGGGGGAAACAAAGAATACTTGATGTGAAAAGAGGATGATTATACACCATTTTTACCCCCCACCCCCCACCCTCACCCCTAATTAACTTTCCTCCCACATATGTCATCTCTCCAGTCGCACTGTCACATGCAACATGTTGCTGCCACTCAGGGCTCATTGCTCTCTTGGCTAGTGATCCCTGCAAACCAAACACCAGTTTACTTCACATCAAGATCCATGTTGCCATCAGGCTGTATATCCCCCTCCGGCCTTATTATGCTGCGCGCAGTTGGAGTGGCGAGTGGCGATGTATTGAGGCCTCTTACATAAAGCTCCCCCTCTCAGGTCAAAGGCATAGAGGAACAGTTGGGGCGTCTCCTGTTTTGACACAGTCTGTATGTTCTTCTAATTGGTGCTAATTGGCACAGAGGGGCTCCATTGTTCCTCTGTATAATGCGACCCTCCTCTCCTAGACGGGAAGAAAGGGCACAAACAAAAGGCTGAGGCAAAATGGGGCACGGGTTAAAGCAATAGAAAGCGATACCATTACAGCAGCAAAACAGACCGAGGCACAACTTTGTGTTCAGCTTTGTCATTATTGCCTGCTTGATTTATTGTCAAAAATCCATTTGGAATTTTGCATTTTTAAGATTTGATTCTGTGTAAACTCTTAACTCTTGAGAGTTTAGATACTGGCTTATTTAAATCTGAGTTTCTCCTTGTCACTGAAATTTCTCTGACTTTTGCAAACACACACAGCAAACTGACCCCTATTTTTTCCCCAAAATTTGTTTTACCAGGAAAACATCAAGACTTGTACGGCAAAGGCCATCCGTACACGGGCTACCCAGGCTACATCATGATGAGTAACATGAACGACTCCTACATGAACAATGGCTCCCTCTCACCGCCCATGCCCAGAACGGTCAGTGTCAACTTTTCTTTTCACCTGTTACTTTGTCAGTGTGAGAATAAGGATGTCAAAAAGTGTTTGCCGTCTCTGCATCGCTGTTAGTTAAATGCATAAAACCTTTTATAACGTGAAAGCGATGTGTGGCAAGGATACAAGTGTATACGTAATTGGTCATTTGAGAAAACAAATCACTGAGGATTTTAATTAAGGATTGTAAAATGACTCTGGAATTAATGTAAATTTGTAAGTATATTTGAAATGTATTTAGTTTGGAGGGTTAAAGGTAAGAGGCTTTCAATAACTTAAGTAAAAGTTGGTGTAGTGATGGTTACATGTGGAATGGAAAGCAAAATCAAACATGGAGTGTAACGATACACAGTGGAGGTTCGTCTTCATTTTGCTCCGATTAAATCCAAGCACGATTATAGATTCAAAGACAACTGAATCTGAAGGTGTCAAAATTTGTTTGTGAACTCTCTCATAGTAATGCCACCTAATCTGGTATTGTCACATACAGTAGAGCATGAAGAGTGAGGAAGCAACCTGTTGATTTACCTCCCCACACACCCTGACTGTGAGGTCTCACCATGAGTTACACTGTTTCACATTTAAGTCATTAGCTATGATATAAGATGTAAAATATGGAATCGGTTGTTTTTCACAGTCCTTGCAGAAATCACAACAGATTAAACTTAATTTAATTTTCAATACACAGCTCAGTAGAAGTAAAAATAGCAAATATTTGTGATTTGGATTGTTGTATAGAGGGGAAAAAAACAATCTGCGATGTCGCTCTGGGCTGTGAAATGCTGTAATATACACTTGATAGGTTAAGATTTAAAGGAGCAAACAATTAATAGACAAATTATTTGCTTTGATTCCACAACCATAACACATTTAGTCTTTAATGTTGCGATTAAATGAGAGAAATCATGAGTCATATCTCAGTCTGAAATTGGGATTAAAATAAATTAAGTTTCTTGTCACAAATTTAAACTTAATCATATGATATAATTAAAACGAAATAATCAACTCCACATGTTCAGAGCATTATTATTTATGTTGTTGTTGTGTCTGTATGTCAAAATAAGAGAATCCTTATTTACCCTCTTGCACCAGCATTGCTGACACTTGTCCCCTCCAGAACCATATGTGAACCAAACGCCTTATTTTCCAGCAGATTAGCATGAGATGTAAAGTATTTCTCATCTTGTTAAAATCTTAGATGATGCATGTCTAAATGACCCCAGTAAGCCCTCTACTAAGCCCGTCATGAACGAGGAGCTCCAAAGGCAACATCACGTCTCTGAGGTTGTCTTGTGGAGGAGCTTTTATTACCATCCAGGGTTGGCGTATGTTGTCACAGAAATCGTCCCTGTAACGGTATTAATTTCAGGCCAGCTGCAGGTCTCTCACTGGCGGCTTCCTGTGTCTGTCCCGTTTGCAAATTTCTCCTCTCAAGACAGACATAAAACGCAGGGCACACCAGCAGCTGTCCATTCTAATCCTGTTTTGTCCATGTTTCTGGTATCACACTCGGGAAGACAACCAGCCTAGGTCTGGCTATGGTTTGGTGCCTCCACACAGGAAACACTGACACTGTGCAGAAAAAGCTAGAGCCCTGGGTTGTTTGCGCTTTTGCAGTGCATATAAATGAGTTTCATCAGGGTAAAGTTTTTAAAAATGTGAGTTCTGCGTAAGAATCAGCTTTCGGAGGCAGATGTGATTGTCGGGGGCAGAAGCCACATGCTGTGTGTAAAGGATCTTCATTCATACGCAACCTCTATCGTGGAATGATGTTAAAATTGCATTGCTTCCCCTCTACCAAGTAGCAGAGGGTGAAAGCATGTGACATTATGAAGAAAACATGATCCTGATTACCTCACGATTCACTCTCTCCAGTTTACAAATAGAATAGCTTGTGAAATGCAGGGTATGACGCTTTCTAAATTTTCTTTTTATTGCTTGTTTTCCAGTCAATTTTATCAATTGTTCCATCATGCACACTGAGAGATTCATAGTTGTGTGTATGGACACCAGCTGACTGTATGAGAGGAAATTACCCCTCACTGCAGATGAATTAGGCCGGGCAGTTAGGCGGCGTTCTCACTGCCAAAACTTTTAAACCCCTGCTTTCATTTCATTTACCATGGCTGCTTTTTTTTTTCTTCACCCAATTTTCCCCCTCATCCTGTCTTCAATAAAACGGTAGTCATTTTATATACGTTTCTCTCACTTATCCAATAAAGAGAGCCAAGACTCGGTGGAGGGATCATGGAACATGAGTCCTCTGGTTTTCTCACTGATGTCAGATTGCTGCCTCTGCTGCTGGCCATCGCAGCCACAGTATCTGCAGGCCTGGGATCAGTTTTCACTGAGATCAAAGCCGCATTCTCTCTTTCATTCTCTTCCATCCCGAGCCCCCACCACCGCCACTGCCACCCCCCCAATCCCAGTAGTTTAGATTGATTTCCATTGACCATGACATTCCTGCACATGCCGTCCAGTCATGATGGAGCTTTTGGGAGTTGCTGATTGTCAGCAGATTTTAGTGCTTTTCGCTTGGTAGGTCACCTCTGCCCCAGGAGCTGAGATTTTGGTGTCAAGATGCCCAACGGTGTTCAGTTTCATTTACTGTGTGGTTAATGTGGATTTAAAACAAAGTTGACCACTTCAAAGAGTCACTGGTGGGTTATAAATACTCTGATTTCTACTCAAACCTGTAGCTGTTTGAGGATGCAGGTTGAATGTTCTGTGAGGGCAAAAGACTGTTTCATTATTTTATGATGTTCCCACTTTGGCTATTGTACTTGTTTGAACTGCTGTCTAGTTATAAGTAATTTAAAGTGGTTATCATCTTTGCCTATTTTAGACCAGCATTACTGAGCCTGAGATCACCAAACCAATTCCCTTTTGTGAATGGGTCAGGAACCTCTCAGTTCATTTTTCAATTTCTGAGGGATGTGAGCTGTTAAGAGTTCAAAATGCCTTTGGGCACAAATGGATTGACCTACAACCAATCAGATCAATGACATTAGACATGAGTATCATCTAATACTGAAAGTATAGTTATTTGCTCTTCTTTTATAGAAAATATATTTTCACTTTCTTTAAAATGGTTACAACAGCAAATCAGTAGATGTCCCCACCTTCCCTTATACAACAACCATCTTTTGTCAGTCATTGCCTCAGTTTATATTAATTTTGTGATTGGCCCAACCTGTCACAGTACGGATGGAAATGTGTAAATGGGAGGGGGTGTACTTTAGTGCCATCTGTGAGGGGATAAAGATGAGCTTGCTGATTGGTCTGATTTCCAACCAATCTTTATTCATCATCTTATCTACATTAGATATGCACACAAAAAAGAGGTTATTGGAAATAAATACATTTTCAGTTATTTTTTCAGTCTGGATATTTGTATTGATGAGAGTAAAAGGACAGGAGGGTTGCTGAGAGAGAACAGATGTTTCTTACTGTGTAAATTTAAAAAAAAGACATTTGTCTGCAGAAACAAACTAAACTTCTTTATTTCACTTTTACTCTGATGTAGAATTTTTCGTTTTTTCATTCACAGCTTTGTGAAATTATCTTTCTTATCATTCCACCATATGTGTGCATGTTCAGACTTCCTATAGCTTTTATGAAGCTGGATCTTCAAAGCATTTAGGATGTTGTCATAACTCCAGGTTTTATGTGTAGAAGAATAAAGGTTCACTGCTTTGATCGGCTTTGTCTTATCAAGCTTCCTGAACTTAAATCAGGATTTGGAAGTGACAGTTTCTAAATAAAGATCAACATGCATTAGATGGGCAGAACATATTTTTAAATGACCTAAAAATCATTTTCAGAGCACCCCACTGCTTTCACACTCTTTAGTTTTGCACGTTCCTCTGTAGGTTTAAACAAATCCTACAAATCTTTGAATAAACTCATAAATGCCTTGTTGACGAGATAACAGCTCAACTGCATCTTCCTAATTTGCAAACTTTTATAGTCCAGAAATGTAGTGCAAGGTTTTTTTCACCTAACTGTGAAGATGTGTTGGTGATCTTCAGCTGTGTAAGAGCAGTCTTATGGTCACAGGCAACAGCTTGAACAGAGATGGATAGTATCACAAATTTTTCTCTAAGCAGAGTTTCTCTGCTGTGGTGGCAGGGGGGTTAGAGAGCTCCCGCACTCTCTCTTTTTTCCCCTTTGGACCCTCAGTTGCAGATCCTCATGGCAAGGAAGAGGGTTTGTGTGTGTGTTGGGGGTTGGGGGGGCGTAGTGCTGCACTTTTCTTTGATGTAGTGGGAACGTGACGGATCTGCTAGCCAGTGTCTCGCAGCGTGGAATCACTAACCCAGGCTTACCTAACGGGATTTGGTAGGACCGCTCTGGTGTCCCTCAGTGCCATGTGTGTCCTGAGCTCATGCCCCCAGCGCTACCGTGGAAGATCCCTGTTAAAGAGAACACTACATTTACCAGCAGCCTTCCATGTATACACATAATGTTCTAGATGGCAGTTTTTCTTTTTTTTAACATCTCACTACAGGGTGAATATGCTGCGTGCAGTTTACTAGGGTTGAATGTAGCATTTAAGCAGCTGGACTCCATATGATCATCACACTGTCAGCTCATTTAATTATCTACAAGTAGAGTCTAATACAGTACACTGTGTATATTGACGTCTAAAAATACATTTATAGTATATATAGTAGTTGTCAAAAAGGTAGAAGTATAATTGCATCATTCTAAAGCTGACTTTATTCATGCGGCATATGAATCAAAGAGTCCCACTGACATTGATGTCATCTGCTGTGCAGCTCTATCACACAGTGAAATATGTGTGTCCACATGAAGGACACCACCAGAGACCTCACACAGAAGAAACACTTGGCGTCTCTTGCTCTTTGTAGTGCCGCTGGGTCTCGTTGTTTTATAAACAGCACCATTAACACCATCTTTCTTTCGTGTCCTCCACTGTCTGGTGATGCCGGTTGACACATTTACTCCATATGCACAGTACT